CGCAGCCGCAGCGCGCGGCTCATCGCGGACGCAACGCGAGAAGGCGTTCGGCTTCGCCAACGGCGGCGGCGCATTTGAGAGGGGCACGAGGGGCCGCGCGGTGCGTGACTCGCATTCGAGAAACCAGTAACCGTATGTAAAATAATGCAGGAGGTCGCCATCGTGCTTCCCATGCGTGCGAATGTAATACTAGCAGAAGTACACGTAAGCGTTGTAAAGGTTGCGGGCACCGCGGCATCGCTGGTTCAATGGCGCAAGTAAATAAACCCATTGGTGGTGCTGCTGTCGCTGCGACCTGCAACAACTGTGATTTCGCCACCGCACGTTGGCAGAAATTACGGACCAAACCTGCATGACCTTACCAGTCTCGCACCCACCACCAGAAAAACCAGGTCGCAGAAGTAACTGCACACATTGTGTAAGTAGTGTTGTTCCATGTGGTTGCCACAGCTGCATCCATAACACAACACTGAATAGCCAGGCATGCACTTAGTAAGCCGCATGGAATCGGAGCCGCAGTCGCAGCCGTAGTCGTAGCCGCGATCGTAGTAGCACGTGGAGAGCTAGTAATGGTAGTAGCAATAGCAATAGGCATACCAGTCGATGTCGTCGTAGTGGTAGTGATGCTCACAGTAGTGGTGGCCGAAGAACAAGTAGCGGCAGTGGCATCGTAACGGTAGTAATAGTAGCAGTATTCGTAGCAATGACAAAATAGAACTAGAAGTCGCATCCGTGAGAGTCGTCGTCGCAAGCGCATTAGAACTATTAGCTGTTGTAATTAATAACAGACGTGTTAGAAGCAGCGAGCGTAAAAGTGGACGCAGTAGCAGCAGTAGTCGTAGTAATGGTAGTGGTGGCACTACTATTTGTATTAGTAGTGGTAGTCGAAGCAGTAGTAGTAGCACTACTGCAACAACAACAACTACAACTACTACTACTACTACTACTAGCAATAGTAGGGGTAGTCGTAGTAACACTACTACTACTACTACGACTACTACTACTACTACTACTACTACTACTACTGCTGCTACTGCTCCTGCTACTACTACTAGCACTAGTAGTAGTAGTCGTAGTAGTAGTAGTAGTAGTTGTTGTTGTCGTAATAATGGTAGGTGTTTGTTGCTCTGGTAGTGGGAGTAGTAGCAGCAGCAGTGGTAGTAGTACAAGTAGTATTAACCATATCAGTAGTAGTAGTAGTAGTAGTAGAAGAAATGGTAGTAGCACTTCCAATAGCAGCAGTGGTCGTAGTAGTAGTAGTAGCGAACATGAAAAGCGCAAACCAACTTCAAGTAGCAATCTTTGTAGCAGCAAGAGCAGCACCATTAGTAGGAACCGTGGTAGTGGCAGGAGTAGCAGCAGTGGTAGAACTAGTATGAATAGCAGCAAAGAAAAGGCAGTAGCTGTTGTAGAATCAGAAAGTGTAGCGCATTTGAAATACCATTTGCAGCACTAGTGCGCTAGGGATAGTGGTCGTAGTAGTGGCCGTAGCAGTCGTGGTACTAGTAGTAGGCGCGGTAGTAATGTTAGTTGGCCGTAGAAACAGAATTAGTAACAGTGGTAGTAGCAGTGGTAGCGGTAGAGGTGGTACCATGACATGTATCAGTCGGCGCAGCAGGTGTAGTAGCAACAGATCTGGCAGTAGTCGGCGTAACATACGCAGTGGTAATAGTAGTAGTAGCAGCAGTAGAAGTAGTAGTAGACGTAGTCGGAGGAGTAGTAGTAGTAGTAGTAGTAGTAGAAGTAGTAGTAGTAGTAGTAGTAGTAGTAGTAGTAGTGGTAGTGGTAGTAGTAGTAGTAGTAGCCGTGGTAGTGGTAGCTGTACACGTAGCATGGCAAAGGAGCCTTGTTTTGTGGTGGTAGTAATTGCTTTCGTAGTAGTAGTGGTCGTAGAAGAAATCGTAATAGACATTTAGTAGCACAAGTAGTAGCAGTAGTGGTAGCACAAGTAGTAGTAATAGCAGCAGCAGCAACAGCAGTAGCAGCAGCAGCAGCAGTAGTAGTAGTAGTAGTAGCAGTAGTAGTAGTAGTAGTGGTTGTAGTAGTCGTAGTCGTGGTAGTCGTGGTGGGTCGTGTTGAGTAAGTGTCGTAACTAGTAGTATTAGTAGTAGAGCAGCAGTAGCTAGTAGTAGTGGTAGTAGTAGTAGTAGTGGTAGGCATGTAGTAGTAGTAGTAAAGTGTAGTAAGTAGTAGTGTAGTAGTAGTAGTAAGTAGATGTAGTAGAGTAGTGAGTAATGTAATAAACCTTAGTAGTAGTTGTTAGTAGTTTCATTTATTTAATAAGATAGCGCAGTAGTCAGTGTAGTCAGTAGTAGTAGTGTAGGAGTAAGTTGGTAGTAGTTTTGAGTGGGGGGGGACTAGTAGTAAGAGTAGTAAGAGTAGTAGTAGTAGTAGTAAAAATTGTAGTAGAAATAGTAGTAGTAGTAGTAGCAATAGCAGTAGTCGTAGTAGTAGTAGTAGTAGTAGTAGTAGTAGTAGTAGTAGTAGTAGTAGTAGTAGTAGTAGTAGTAGTAGTAGTAGAATAGTAGTAGTAGTAGTAGTAGTAGTAGTAGTAGTAGTAGTAGTAGTAGTAGTAGTAGTAGTAGTAGTAGTAGTAGTATGTCGTAGTAGTAGTAGTAGTAGTAGTAGTAGTAGTATTCGCAATAGAAGTCGTAATTCGTAGTCGCAGTAGCTGTAGTATGTCGTTATAAAGGTCATGGTGTTTTTGGTGGAGGTAGTAGTAGTCGTAGTAGTAGTAAAGTAAGTAGTAGTAGTAATAGGGAGTAGTAAGTTGAGTAGTAGTAGCAGCAGCATTAGTAGTAGTAGTAGTAGCAGCAGCAGTAGTAGTAGTAGTAGTAGTAGTAGTAGTAGCAGTAGTAGTAGTAGTGGTAGTAGTAGTAGTAGCAATCGTAGTAGTAGTAGTGGTAGTAGTAGTAGTAGTAGTAGTAGTAGTAGTAGTAATAGTAGTAGTAACACTAGCAGTACAACAAGTAGTAGTAAGGGCAGTCGTAGTGGTAGTAGTGGTGGTGGTGGTAGTAGTAGTAGTAGTAGTAGTAGTAGTAGTAGTAGCGGTAACATTACTAATAGTAGCAGTAGTAAAAGTAGAAGCAGCAGTAGCAGCAGTAGTGAGGGATGAGTCGTAGTCGTAGTCGTAGGCGTAGTCGCAGTCTTAGTCGTAGTCGTAGTCGCGTTCGTGGTCCGAGTCGTAGTCTTCGTTGTCGTCGCCGCCGTCGTCGTATCTGAGCAGTAGCCGTCGCAGGGGTGGTGGCGATCGTCTCCTCTCCCTGCTGCGTCATCATCGTCATTATTGTCGTCGCCGTGTTTTGCCAACTTTCGCAACTGCGTGTTCGGTATACTGGTATACGTGTTGCGACCCCCCCAGGGCACCCGTCGGTTCGGCAGCAGGGGCCAGATATCTGGGGCCTCGAGCTCTACGACTTATCCAACAGCAGCCCGATCGCGCGGCCATATGGCCGCCAGCCCTGCCAGAATAACCCTGGGGGCAATGGCCCCGTGGGCTCCCGCGTGGGTGGAACTGTCCCAACCAGACCTGCAATGCGGGTTTTGGTTCTTCCCTGCGGGCAACACGGCGCCATATTCGTGGTTCGTACCAGTTTGGCGCAGGGGTGCAGAGGACATCGGCCACGTGGACTGCTACGCCGTGTGTCTCATCTGGCTGGAAGGGCTCAACGTACGGTGCCCTCTTGCCAATGCTGACCACACAAAACCCGTTTAGGAACAACACCAGAGGGGGATCCACTGCAAGTGTAAGGCTCCATAGGGAGCTCCACCGACGGCGCCAGTCACCATTAGCGGTGCCACGCAACGTAGCTGGAAGTTGGCGTGTTGGCGGCCATCTGAAGGCGCGCCCACGCCCGCGCTTGCCTGCGCGCTACCTGTTTTACCACCACATTAACCGCACCATCATTACCAAAGTCATCACATTCATCATTCATCAAGTCACCGTCGTCGTGAAGAGGACAAACGTGTGGAGGAGGTGGCAAAACATATGAGGAGGAAGAAAACGAAGTCGTGAAGAAAACGTGTGAATGAGGAGGCGGAGGATTTGGATGATGATAGTGAGGAGGATGAGGAGAAGGAGGAGGATTAGGAGAAGGAAGAAGAAGGAGAGGAGGAGGAGGAAAGGAATAAGAGGAGGAGGAGGAGGAGGAGGAGGAGCGTTCGTGGCTGGCACAGTCAGATTGGCACAGTTGCGAGGCATCGCGATGCCCGAAGCCCTGCACCGCGGGTCGCCGATCGGAAGCATCCAGGATTGAAGGCACTGTTGGCTCGCCACTGAGAGTTTCCGCTGCCCACTTCGCCCTGGCCCCTTGGAGGCCCGATGGTGTCGTTGTTGCGTGACTGAGAGCTTCCGCTGCCCACTTCGCTCTTGCCCGTCTATCCCGCACCGTTCTCCGGCAGGAACTACTGGTCTAGCCCGATGGGAATATATGTGCCAGGAGGCGGTGGCTCTGAGATGTTGTGTTGTTTTGCACGCGTGCATTGCATTATAGCTCCAGAACACGATGCACAAATCATGGGTTGAAGTTTTTTGTTTGTGCGAGGGGTTTGCGTCCTCTTGGATTCTCGGAGGCCTCCTGGAGGAAAAGGTTGATGATATCACCCCACTCCCCCATATGGCACATTAAGCTCTCAACAAGGCATGCTGCATTTACCACAATGGGGCCACTCTCTGAAGATTCTTGGAAGGCTCAGGTAGTCTTGTGCATCTTAGGGGACATGGGATATCAGAGGGATGCATGCTTGGCAGGCTTTCAAAGGGCTCCAGAACCGAATGCGACTAATGTCAATCGAGGTCGGCGCCTGGATCCCTGGGCCCCTTTGCGGGGCTTTGTTGGGGCACTTGCATGGCCTCAGAGAGGCCCAGAGGCCCAGAGGCCCAGAGCTTCAAGAAGACAGCATTGGAGCCAAAGAGCGATCCTTAGCCGTTTTGGCACTAACCTCTTTCGGGCGAGGCATCCCGACCAGCCAGCAGCCAGCTGACGGGAGATCGCCGCCAGGATGCTCCACGTGAAGACTGAGTGCCTGGACAGCTCGACAGCGCCCTCGTTGCAGTACGATCCCGACTGCCTGATGATTGAGGGGGACGCTCTTGCGACGCCCGCTGGCCTTGTCAAGGCTGAGTATGCAGAAGATCTTCCCTCGGTAAGTGTAGCTGGCAGCACGGCAGCAGCAGGCGACGACAATGTGCAGCTCGAGTCGGCTCCGCCTGCGCGGGCCACGGACGATGCTGCCGAGGTCGACGTCAAGACTGACGAGAGGAAGGAGCAGGCACGCAACCAGTGCACGCGCATGATTGACATGTTGGCCTTCGCAGGAGTGGCTGCCCCGAAGATGACTGACATGGCAACGCCAGTCGATCGCGACCAGACGGGCGAGGGCGATGTCGCTACCGAGGCTGGGGCAGAGGCTCAGGCCCATGATTCCAAGGTTATCGATGCTGTGGGCGCCCCTATCAGCGATTTGTCTCTCCTGGCGGCCTTGCCGTCGGGCCCAACGATGGTCGCCGTCAGGCGCATTCGTAAGACGATTAACAACTACGTGGAGGACATGCGGAGAGATTCTTGGTTCAATGATTTCAAGCTTGGGGCTGTTTCTAGTGTCGGTAAGCGCCTCGACGCGCATGCAGACAAGATATTGGGTAAGGCCACGTACGAAGTACAACTTGCATACCTGCAGCTCCAGATCAGGATCAGAGCAGTTGTTTCCCTCTGGAAGGCGATCAAGACGTGGCTGGAGTCGCAGAATGAGACCTTAGTGATCGATACGCTTCCACACTTCTCCACGGTCCTTGGCTATTTGGCGACGGTCGAGGTCCCTATGTCTCAGACCCTCACGGCGGTGTTTCAATATGCTGTTTTCCATGCGGATTTCAAGAAATGTGGCGTGGTATCAGCTCCTATCAAGCGTCTTGACACCGAACTCTTCGACATTGCGCGCGCCAACACCAATGACGAGGTTGGCGGTGCTGTTGACGAGGTTCATGTTGCATCGGATGGCGAGGGGAAGCGGGAGGTCGCTGACGGCGAGCCCGCAGAGAAGGATCGGGGGAGCAAGCCCAAGCAGTCGAAGAAGGCCAAGAAGGATAACCCCGACATCCACGCAGCGGTGCTCATCGGTGCTAGCGCCGTCGACCACATGGAGCACATGATCGTGGAAGCGATGAAGGGGTTCATGTACAAGCTGCCAAAGGACACGCTGACGGTGCCAGAGAAACGCTCGAGCTTCGTGACTGAGATCCTCGACACAGTCCAGGCGTGGACCAACATGAGCATGCAGTTCGAGAACATCGGCGACGCCCAGTCCGACTTTACGAAGGTGCTGACGGCCACCGGTGTCATCGCGCAGTGCGTCATCTCGGTGGACCAGTGCCGTCCGCCCTCGTCCGAAGTTCGAGCAGCGAGGAAGGTTGTGTTGGATCACGTCAAGGGGGTTGTCAATCCAACTACAGAGCAGGCGAGGATCCTGAAGTCCTACACGGTATCCCAAGACGTACTGGAAGCATCCAGAGTACATGTTGAACAGACGGTGGAAGATGATACTGCATCGGAGTTCTTCTTGAGTGCCGTTTCTAAGCTTTTTATTATACATCACTCGTTATTTTCTTTTATTGTATCGTCTCACTTTTTTTTCTTATGATTTCTTTATTCCCTTTTTTATTATTTTCTAAGCTCGAGGATACCTTGGAGAGCGCGTTCGATGACATCGAGGTGTGGAGGGACACCATGGCCAAGCTGATCAACGACACGTCTGACTTCGCCCCCTTGGAGGACGTTTACACAGCCATCGATAAGCTCATTGGCAGCGTGGTGCATTGCCTCGGGAAATGGTCAACGGCTGCGCTGCATCAGAACTGCCTCACCGTTTGCTCTGAGATGAAGAACTGCAAGATCATCATCGACGTGGCGTTGTACATGCATCTGCATTGCTTCTACGATGGCATCGCCATTCACTTCGGCGAGTTGAACAACTACCTCGCCACCTTGATCAAAGCTGGTGGCTTGGATGGCCCCGTCGAGAGCTTCGATGAGAAGAGTGCCATCGAGAGCAAGGTTAAGCTTCAGAAGTTCATGGGTGCAATGAAAGTATCAGCCGACAGAGTTTTAGAAGTCAACACTCACTGGGCACAGTGTCTTCGGATGATCGTGACGCGTGCAGGGCAGTTCGCCATGAACCAGTTCGATGAGGATGAGATGACCACCCTGAAGTTCGATATATGTCACACGGCAACCACGTCGAGCATCAATGACATGATCAAGTACGCCGTCTACTGCATCGACGTTGCCGTGAACGCCTTCGCGAAAGTGCAGCTTGCTCCGTCTTCCGAAGCGTTCATCGAGTTCACGAGGCTGTCGACGCACCTGTCGGACATCGAGAAGCTGAGCTGGGAGTGCAAGAGCTTCTGCTCCATCGACGAGTTGCCCGCCAGCACCGTCAGGGCCTTCATGCTGCTGAGGGATGGCGTGGGTTAGGGGGGGCATCGCAAACCCCCAGGGTGTTTGACCGCAGCGTAGTTCGAGTGTCCTTGGCTCCAGAACACAGAGGGTCCCTGGCTCCGGAACGCAAAGGACTCTTGGTTGCAGGGAACCAAGGAGTCCGACGGGCACAAAACCCAGGGGTCCTTGAGCCAGGGGAACAGGAGGCTGGAAGGAGGAGAAGGAGGAGGAGGAGGAGGAGGAGGGAGGGCGGACGAGGAGGAGGAGGAGGAGGAGTAGGAGGGATGAGGAGGAGGGAGGACAGGATAAGGGAGAGGAGGAGGAGGAGTCCAGGAGGAGGAGGATGAGGAGGAGGAGGAGGAGGAGGAGAAGGAGGAGAAGAAGGAGGAGAAGGAGGAGGAGGAGGAGAGGGAGGAGGAGGAGGGCGGCGATGGCAGCGATAACGATCGTGCCGCTGGCGGTATCGATGCTGGCGGCGTTGACGGCAACAGCACTGATGACTGATGATGCCGATGATGCTGATGAACATGGTTGGGATGTGGGTGAGTGGGATGAGGGCGCAGAACACGATGATGAGGATACGACGATCGGGGCCCTCTAACTTAGGGGACACGGGTGAGGACGACGAATGGCGCCGACTGCAATGGAGAAAGCAACGACTTGGCATGAGAGGATGGCGGGAGGACGAGGAGGAGAGAGGAAGGAAGACAAGGAGGAAGGAATGAGGAGACTAAGAGAGAGGAGAAATGGAGAAAAAGCATTTTTTTGTACCCGTGGCCCCCCGCTTTTGCAGGGGCACACGTTCTCGAGACGTGCAAGCAGTCGTTCTTCACCCAGAAGCTCAAGGCCGCTGGGACCACGTTGCCGTTCTCCGTGGGCGACGTCCACGAGGCTGCGGTCCTCGCAGCACAGGACTACTCGACAGTTGTGCTCCTGACGCGTGGCCTTGATGATGTTGCTGTTTGTATTCCAGACTGTTTGAAAGGTGAGCTGCCAGGCACGCTGGGGCTGGATGTCTTCGCTACCGCTGGCCACAACGTTGCATATGAGGATCTTCGGAAGTTCGTGGAGGCCAGCGGCGCGACGCACGTGAAAGTTGACGGCATGACAAACGCATCGACACCAGACGACGACAACGTTCCTGTGCACCACGCCCTTGCATATATCTCAATCGTGAACGCCATGAAGGATATGGTCGGATGCATCGTCAAGGTGAATGGCATGTTGTCCAAGGCCAGCGGCTACAATGATGACATTTCAGAGGGCGTGGTGGTCGGTCCGCTCGTGCAGCTGCTGAAGCTTGTCTCCGCTTGCCTCGTGCGGCTCGACTGCCAGCTGCACTCCAAGCCTGCTCTGGAGCTCGAGAAGGCTGGCTGGGTCACGCCCGTGGGGCTCAGCGGGGCCAAGCAGTGGGCTCTCTCGGTGGGCCACTTCAGCTTGAAGTGCCAGAAGCGGTTTCTCCAGATCGTGGACAGTGGCATCCTGAAGTACACCGACGCTTGCAGCAAGGAGTGTTTGGACTGGAAAGCGGCGTTCGACACCACTGGCAAGTTGAACTTGCCCCTGGCGACGAAGTTGTTCTACAACAAGCAGGGGAGGGTGGCTGCCTCCCACAACGCCCTGCACCAGAAGCTCGCCACCGTCAACGTCGCCGTCGCCGACGTGGGCATCACGCCCAGCATCCAGGAGCATGACATCACGTCTTCATCGGTGGCGCTGGCTCTGGCTTGCTTGGTCACTCGGGGCTCAAAGGGGAATGCCGAGCTTTGGGCGCGCGCGTCGGTTCGGAGCCTCAACCAGATCTGCCCTTCGAGGCCAGAGAGGGGGGGTGGGGCTCCGAATCGACCTGCGCATCGAAAGCACTGCATCCTTCATTGATGCCACCTGGAGGCGAAAGCATCTTTGCTCTCCGTCGTCATCAAAGGTTGCTCGCTCTTGGCGAGCCTGGAGAACAATCCCAAGGGGCCAGAGAGCGCAAAGGCGTTCATCGAGAAGCATCCGCCATCGAAGTACCCCGAGATCCCGAATAACTTCTGGGACGAGTTGCTGGCGATGGCATCGTTCACCATCGAGCACGTCGGAGAGAGCGCCCAGTCCGCGGCGAGCGGCTCCGCTGGCAGCGGCGTCGCAGCGACGCCTGCGCCGAAGGCTGCGGCTGAGGCGCCTTCCGACGTGACCAGCGCCGCCAAGTTCAAGGGCACGTCGCTGAAGCGCGACGCTGGCTCCGACGCAGGCCCGAAGCAGGTGGGGCTCAAGCGCTGCAAGAGGCAGCGTTGAGTTTCGCCCCAGTTTATGGGGGCTGGGTGGAGGGAGGGGGGATGAGGGGATTGGAATTAAGACGGATTGGAGGGTAGGTGCTGGAATATTGGATAGGAAAGAGATGGAGGATGGGGGAGACGGTGGAATTTGGTAGGGCTGGTTCGGGGTCGGAGGGAAGGGGTTGGGATGCGTGGGAGGGGGCGTGCAAAGTAGAAGGCAGGCGGGATGGACATAATGGGAGGGAGGACGGAGGAGGAGGAGGATGAGGAGGAGGAGGAGGAGGAGGAGGAGGCGGAGGAGGAGGAGGAGGATAAGGAGGAGGAGGAGGAGGAGCAGGAGGAGGAGGAGGAGGAGGAGGAAGAGGAGCGGGAGGAGGAGGAGGAGGAGGAGCGGGAAGAGGAGGAATGGGAAGGAGGAATGATGAGGACAAACCAGAAGCTAGTAGGGGCCAGCCAGCAGCTGGCGTGCGGGGCCGCGGATTACGAGACTGTAATCCAGCGGCGTGGACACAAGCGGCCTGGAGACAGGCGGCGTGGGACAGGCGTGGGGAGAGGCTGCTCCGTCAGATCTTGATCCCTCCCTGCCCCTGCTTCTCAACCCTCCCCCTGCTTTCCTCTCATTATTCTTCTGCCCCCGTGCTGATATCCTGCCCACGTTCTCTCTACCTCAGCCTTTCGCGCCGTCATGGCTCGTGCCCCTCGCGACGTCATTAGTCGTACCCCTCACGACCTCATTGGTCGTCCGCTTCACGACGTTCTTCCTAACCCCACCTTCACCCTCGCACCTCCATCCCTCATGTCATCATTTGGCATTGTCATGCGGGAAATGGATCCCCGCGCACGCTTGCTTCTCCAGTTTTGATTCACTCAGGTTCGATGATTGGCAGTGGGTTCGGCAGGCCACGATCCGAATGGTACGATGCAAGACGAATGTCCCACTTAAGTTCAGGCACACATTTGTTTCATATGATTTAAACCATACAAAAAAACAAAAAGCCTACTTAACTTCAAGAGCTAACTCTGGGAGTTAACTCCCAGAAACGAGTTACCAAAACAAGTTGAAGTTAAGAGTTGGAGTGATGAAAACGAGTTGCGTCACAAAGGCTGTCGACCATTCGGTGTTGAATTCCACCCCCCCTACAGAGCTGAGGGAATACACGCGCCCAACTCTGAAGCCCTGAGATGGATCGTGAATCGGGAGCCTCTTGAAGCCTTTTCTGGGAGCCTCGTGCATGACGTCGAAGCGAGACCTCCCATACGCTTACGGGCGACTACTGGGAAGCTTCCTGGGACCGTTTTGGAAGCGTTTTGGGAGTCTCTGGGGGCCTCTTGGGACCTTCTTGGGGGTCCTTTTGGGGCTCTTTGGGGCTCTTTGGGGCCCTCTTGGCCCGTCCCGGGGTCCTCTTGGACCGTCTTGGGCGCTTGGGCCGTCTTGGGGCCCTCTTGGGGCCCTCTTGGGCCGCCGAGGGTGCCTTCTGTGGCCCTCTTGGGGCTCCCTGGGGACTCTTTTGGGAACCTCTGGGGGCCGTCGTGGACCGTCGGGGGGCGCTCGTGGGCCGTGTTGGAGCTCTCTTCGGTCGTCTTGGGGCCCTCTTGGGGGCCTCTTGGGTCGTCTTACGGCCGTCTTGGGGGCCTTTGGGTCCGTCTTGGGCTCTGTTAGGACCGAAGAAGCGAATATGCTAAAAACGTACGTTTTCCGAAAGGAATTTGGCTGGTTTTGCCTTTTTGTGACCTTCTGGGAGGCCTCTTGGGCCGTCTTGAGGGCCTCTGAGGCCAAAAATATAGGTTTCCCGCTGGTTTGTGAAAGATTCGAATTTCTCGAGGACCTTTTCGGAAGCCTCTCGGGCACCCTTGGGAGCCTCCTGGGCCGTCTTGGAGCGCTCTTGGGGTCCTCTTGGTGCGTCTTGGAGAGCTCTTGGGCCATCTGTAAATAATCATGGGCGAGGAGGGAAGACAAGCCGGGAGAACGAGGAGGAGGACGACGACGATGATGACGACGACGACGACGACAACGACGACGACGACGATGAAACCGACGACGACGACGAAGACGACGACGGTGTCGCCGCCGCGGGTTCCCGCGCCGAAGCGATACCGCAACGGCGCCCCAGCGGCCGCAAAACCACCCGGGAACCCCGAAACGCCTGAGCGTGAGCCTCAAGGCTCTCTGGAGAATCTTCAATTCAGCGGAACATGTATCGAGCGGGGGCGTCATTCTTTGCAGGGGGCCGCTTTGGGCGCCGAGGCGGGAGGGCCAGTTTTGATTCCAAGCAATAAAATATTGAGCGGTGGCGGCGGGTTTGTTGGAAGTCCATTTCCCGGCGTCGGGCAAGGGCACAGTTTTAAGTAAAAAGGGGGGATGTATCGAGCCGGAGCGTTTTTGTTGTTGGGGGGTCCGATTCGGCGCAACCCCGACATGCTTAAGCGTGAACCGAGCTTCCATAAGAAATGCAGCCGGGGCGACAGCGCCAGGGCGGATGTAGAGTGTCGAACAATAGAGTTCAATAGTGAGGGTCGACAGGGACCAAAGAAACGTCAGGCCTCTGGGAGTCTAGAATAAAAATGAAGGGAGTAGTGAGCGGAAACGCACTTCTTTGTGGGGGGGGGCGCTGGCGGAAGCGCCAGTCCTCTGTAAAAACCAGGGACGTGTCTAGCGGTAGCGCTGGTTTTGTCGGAAAGCTGGCTTTCGGCAGCGAGCAAAAACCCCCTGTCCCGAGTAGAACAATAGGAACAATCGAGCGGGAGCCTTGTTGTTCGTGTTATTGTTGTCGAACTTTCGCTACTGAAGAATAATTACTGTTGCTTCCCCCCTCCAGTACCATTGGGTTTTCTCAATTGAAGTGGTTCCCCCCAGGGCTCGCATCCTGTTTTTTTACACGGGAAAGTCACAAGACTCAAACTGCGTTGTTCGCCCCCGGATTACAACAACATCGGTTCCCGCCTGAGCGTTTCCCCACAATTTAGCCAGGACCCCCGCTCCCGCCTGAGAGCGCATCGCAATTTACTCAGGTGTCTCGCTCTCGTTTGGAACTTCTTTACACTGCATCCAGGAATCATTTTCTCAGCGCCCTGGAGACTTGCTTGCGATTTACTCAAGAATCACGTCCATGCGTTGGAATTTCCCGCAGTTTGCTCAAGCGCCGCCCTCCCGACACTCAGGCACCCAGGAGTCGAGCTCACGCTTAGGACTCCCTCGTTGCTTATTTAGGAATCGGGATCTCGATGCCCTTCATGGCAACGTTGAACCCCTTCGTGGCCCCCTCGCTGCCCCTCGTGGCCCCGTTGCAGCCCATCTTGGCCCTCTCGCTGCCGTTCGCGGCCCCGTTGCAGCCATTCGTGGCCCCCTCGCTGCCTGTTCGTGGCCCCATTGCAGCAGTGTGTGGCCCCCTCGCTGCCCTTTTTCGTGGCCCCGTTGCGCCCCGTCGTGGCCCCCTCGCTGCCCCTCGTGGCCCCGTTGCAGCCCTTCGTGGCCCCCCCGCTGCCTTTCGTGGCCCCATTGCAGCAGTTTGTAGCCCCTTCGCTGCCCGTCGTGGCCCCATTGCACCCCTTCGTGGCCCCCTCGCTGCCCTTCGTGGCCCTGTTGCAGCCCTTCGTGGCCGCCTCGCTGCGCTCGTGGCCCTATATCTGTATGTATGCACTTCGTGGTCCCCGCTCGTCCTCGCCCGTCGTGGCCCCATATGCATGCGTGTCGTGGCCCCGCTGTCGCCCTCCGTGGCCCCCTCGCTGCCTTTCGTGGCCCCGCTGGTGCCCTCAATGGCCCCGTCCTTGCCGTCTGCGGCCCAATCTACCTATGCTCTTCGTGGCCCCCTCGTTTGTTCGCGCCCGTCGTGGCCCCCCCTTCCTGCCCTTCGTGGCCCCGCTGTCGCCCTTCGTGGCCCCCTCGCTGTCCTACGTGGCCCCGTTGCTACCATCAGTGGCCCCGTCGTTACCCTCTGTGGCCCCGCATCATCTGCCCCTCGTGGCCCCCGCTCGTTCGCGCCCTTCGCGGCCCCATACACATGCCCTTCGTGGCCCCGCTGTCGCCCTTCGCGGCACCCTTCCTGCCCTTCGTCGGCCCCGCTGTCGCTCTCGCTCTCGCTTTCGCTTTCGCTCGTCGTCGACGTCGCCGTCGTCGTCGTGGTCGCTCCCCTGTCCGTCCCTCTTGGGGTCGGGCTGCCGCCGATCAGCGCTGCCGCTGGCCATGCCGACGGTCCGCGACCGCCCCGCCGCTTGCCGGGGTCCGGCCTGCAGGGAAGTAAGGTACCTATACGACCACCCTCCCAGTGATAAGGAGGTTGTAGGGGGGGAGAGGGGGGGGAACCAGCATCTGACTCAATCGATTTCATTATCGATCTCATTCAACGGGACACCACGGGACACTTGTCGATCTCACTATCGATTTCACCATCGATCTGATTCAGCGGGACACCACGGGACACCGCGGGACACCTCTCGATCTCACGTTCGGTCCCACTGTCGATTTCACTATCGATCCCATTCAACGCGA